AATCTTACCGACCCAAAACTTTTAAACAGTAGTGTACATAGCGTACAAACTCTTTCACACTATGCGTCAAAACTTTCCGATAACCAGTCCAGCCATATTCAACAATGTCCTGGCCCAGCTAGGCTTCTGTATCACACCCACATCCCAGCTGTCACAGGCCCTGAGCTTTATTTAATGCCTTGTCTGGAGGTATACGGGCAGCCATAATGCCTGGCTCTGAAATTGTGGAACAGAAGAGGTGTTATATTGGGGGTCTGGCTGGGGCGAGGGTGGCTTAGGGCCCGTCACCTGCAGCGTGCTTGACTTGTCCATAAAGTAAGTGATGATTAGATTGTGGATTGGCCGGAGTGGCTGCAGGGCCACCTTTAAGGTCTGGGTATATCATGTTTGTTTTTTATGGGGTTGAGTTTATGTTGGAATGGCTCATTCACACTTTGTTTGGTTTGCACTTTTCTTGACACTCTACTTGCCGACCTGTGTAAACAGTAAAATAAGTAAAAGAACAGTTCACAAAAGCTTGATATGTAGATCCCTGTGACAAGGCAGTAATTGTGTTTTTTAGTTTTCCTAATAAAGCTTGTTTGTTCCACAGCCAAATCTTTCACAGAACCCAGTGGTGTGTGTTTCTTGCCTGATCTGCAGTACAGCACTTGTTTTTGGTCTTGTAACTCTTTAAAGAAACCTTTGGCAAATGTGAGAAATGAGGCATTTAAAATAATGAAAAGCAAAAACCATGCTGAATTGTGAATTTAACAGAGCATAAATCATGATATGAAAGGAGATTATAAGACCCATACCTAACGATGCCAACTAAAGCACAAACAGTGACAGGGACACTTTGTTCTGTGGGTTTGGGAAAGTTACGATCACCATGCATATTAAAGACATATGTGGTTACTGTAAGGGGGTTCTTACGATTGTTAAGCAGGCTGCAGAGAGAACGGCTTCAGTTGGCCTTAAACAACCATTTTGGGTCATTTCCACCAGGCTATGCATTGTACATTAGAACATTTCTTGACATCTTTGTTAATATACTCACACCTATGTTTACATTTGCAATGTGTCTGTCGATATGGCTTGAATGAATGAGGTTATTGATTGATGTATTTGTGTTTGAACTAAGCTTGTTTGTTCTCTTTTATCCTAGTGTTTGTAAGGAGGGCTGGAACATTGTATGTTTTAGATTTGGGCGTCTTGTGAGCTCAGTCGTGTTGGTGTGTGCTCCTTATGTGGGTTGGGTTTTGTCTACATTGTGGAGGTCAAATGCACCTAGAAAGATAAAACCTGCAATCACCTACATGGTAAAGACTAGCAGGTGATTCTGATTTAAACGGCATAGTAAACATAATGTCTTAATGAAAATCTTAAAATACAGAAAAGTTTCTTTGAGAGTTTTTGGATAGGAAAAAAATGTACCTCAGTATAAAAGCAAAAAAAGTCAATGGAAAGTCCTCACCAGTGTACTTGTGTGTTCTGAATGTATACTTTAGTAAAGCCCTTTGAAGAAAATGGTACATTTTTGTGCCCATCCTTATCTCCAGTCTCCCTGCAGAATCTTTATGCACAAAAAGCATTGCACTCAGGCAAAAACCACTCCACATCTTGTGGCACAGAGATACTCCGAAGATGTCAGCTCTCCCTAAACAATCGTAAAAGCTTTCCATCAAAGCTGCTTTGTGTTGGGTCCAGCTTTCCCCCATCACTGTCAGCGATTGGGAAGCATTGTCCGTCTTCATAGACTGTAAGGTATTTCTAATTCATTCATTGAAGTGTTAGAAACCTTTTTTGTCACTATTATAATTATTATATTTTTCAGTTGGAAACTTACAAAACTTTAACCAAAGTCCAAAGTGGATAAACATTAGCTCATCAGTCCATCGGACACGGCATCAACAGTATGTGAGGGGCGTAACATTTGCGTCTCACGCTTGAGGTATTCGGCCAATCACAACGCATTGGATAGCTGGCCAATCAGAGCACACCTCGCTTTTCAGACCGATGAGCTTTGTAAAAATCGACGCGTTTCAGAAAGGCGGGGCATAGAGGAGAAACAATAATGTACAGTATGTGGAAAATAATGTGTTTTTTGAACTTTAAACCGCATAAACACATTTCATTACACCAAATACACCAAATAATGTTCTTTTTAGCAACATCATATGACCCCTTCAAAGAAATGTATACTTTTATTCAGCAAGGATGCAGTAAATTGATCAGAAGTGACAGTGAAGACATTTATATTGTTACAAAAGATTTCTATTTAAAGTAAATGCTATTATTGGAACTATCATGGAAAAAATGTATCACCGTTTCCACAAAAATATAAAGCAGCACAACTGTTTTCAACATTAATAATAGTTTGAAAATAAGCACCAAATCATAATAGCATAATTTCTGAAGGATCATGTGACACTGAAGACTGGAGTAACGGCTTCTGAACATTCAGCTTTGCCAGAAATATCGTTCGTGAGCATAAGAAATCTTACCGACCCAAAACTTTTAAACAGTAGTGTACATAGCGTACAAACTCTTTCACACTATGCGTCAAAACTTTCCGATAACCAGTCCAGCCATATTCAACAATGTCCTGGCCCAGCTAGGCTTCTGTATCACACCCACATCCCAGCTGTCACAGGCCCTGAGCTTTATTTAATGCCTTGTCTGGAGGTATACGGGCAGCCATAATGCCTGGCTCTGAAATTGTGGAACAGAAGAGGTGTTATATTGGGGGTCTGGCTGGGGCGAGGGTGGCTTAGGGCCCGTCACCTGCAGCGTGCTTGACTTGTCCATAAAGTAAGTGATGATTAGATTGTGGATTGGCCGGAGTGGCTGCAGGGCCACCTTTAAGGTCTGGGTATATCATGTTTGTTTTTTATGGGGTTGAGTTTATGTTGGAATGGCTCATTCACACTTTGTTTGGTTTGCACTTTTCTTGACACTCTACTTGCCGACCTGTGTAAACAGTAAAATAAGTAAAAGAACAGTTCACAAAAGCTTGATATGTAGATCCCTGTGACAAGGCAGTAATTGTGTTTTTTAGTTTTCCTAATAAAGCTTGTTTGTTCCACAGCCAAATCTTTCACAGAACCCAGTGGTGTGTGTTTCTTGCCTGATCTGCAGTACAGCACTTGTTTTTGGTCTTGTAACTCTTTAAAGAAACCTTTGGCAAATGTGAGAAATGAGGCATTTAAAATAATGAAAAGCAAAAACCATGCTGAATTGTGAATTTAACAGAGCATAAATCATGATATGAAAGGAGATTATAAGACCCATACCTAACGATGCCAACTAAAGCACAAACAGTGACAGGGACACTTTGTTCTGTGGGTTTGGGAAAGTTACGATCACCATGCATATTAAAGACATATGTGGTTACTGTAAGGGGGTTCTTACGATTGTTAAGCAGGCTGCAGAGAGAACGGCTTCAGTTGGCCTTAAACAACCATTTTGGGTCATTTCCACCAGGCTATGCATTGTACATTAGAACATTTCTTGACATCTTTGTTAATATACTCACACCTATGTTTACATTTGCAATGTGTCTGTCGATATGGCTTGAATGAATGAGGTTATTGATTGATGTATTTGTGTTTGAACTAAGCTTGTTTGTTCTCTTTTATCCTAGTGTTTGTAAGGAGGGCTGGAACATTGTATGTTTTAGATTTGGGCGTCTTGTGAGCTCAGTCGTGTTGGTGTGTGCTCCTTATGTGGGTTGGGTTTTGTCTACATTGTGGAGGTCAAATGCACCTAGAAAGATAAAACCTGCAATCACCTACATGGTAAAGACTAGCAGGTGATTCTGATTTAAACGGCATAGTAAACATAATGTCTTAATGAAAATCTTAAAATACAGAAAAGTTTCTTTGAGAGTTTTTGGATAGGAAAAAAATGTACCTCAGTATAAAAGCAAAAAAAGTCAATGGAAAGTCCTCACCAGTGTACTTGTGTGTTCTGAATGTATACTTTAGTAAAGCCCTTTGAAGAAAATGGTACATTTTTGTGCCCATCCTTATCTCCAGTCTCCCTGCAGAATCTTTATGCACAAAAAGCATTGCACTCAGGCAAAAACCACTCCACATCTTGTGGCACAGAGATACTCCGAAGATGTCAGCTCTCCCTAAACAATCGTAAAAGCTTTCCATCAAAGCTGCTTTGTGTTGGGTCCAGCTTTCCCCCATCACTGTCAGCGATTGGGAAGCATTGTCCGTCTTCATAGACTGTAAGGTATTTCTAATTCATTCATTGAAGTGTTAGAAACCTTTTTTGTCACTATTATAATTATTATATTTTTCAGTTGGAAACTTACAAAACTTTAACCAAAGTCCAAAGTGGATAAACATTAGCTCATCAGTCCATCATACCAGTATTTACATGTGATAACAATTCATGCACATTTCATGCATTCATTTTATCTAATGTTGTCCATGTTTGCCATTACATAGTGCCAGACTGTGTCCAAAAAGTATTGAAGTGTACACTTTTTCAAGTCCTTAAGTAGGCCCACCAAACTTCTTGTCACTTGATCAATCTTTTTTTTTTTTTACATTTTATAATAGCAGCTGAATGCTGATGACAACCATATATATATTTTTTTATAATTGTTGCGTCCAGCTAAACTTCAGCTCTTATATTTACTTATGTCACAGCGTACAATACAATACTCAACTATTCAAGCCAATATAAGATATTTAGAGCTCTAATAAGCTTTAATCCATCTAAATTTGCTTTTAGGAATAAGAAACTTTGGCCAGGACATGTGGAGCCTTTGGTTGACGTCTCCAAGACCTTAGGTGCATTATATCAAATCCTTCTGAACCAGACAGTGGCCAAGATGAACAGAGGTGACTGTCTACATTACTGATCCATTCTTGTGTTGTAAATTACATTCCTACGTCATGTCCAAGCCAGCTAATCCCTTACATTTGAATTAGTACACGTGTCGCTGACCTTTTGATCTGGCCAGTCGGGATGCAAACAGCTCTGGTTACATCTGGAGCCCTTACGAGAGGCAACAACATGGTCTTTCAATCAGAGCTCTGCATTTTCAGGGTATCTTCCCACTACAGTATGTGGTTTGTCTGAAAAGCTTCCAGGGAGTTAAAATGGAAAAGTGAAAGGATTAGTGGCAGAGAAAAAAATGGACATTTGTCAGGATGAAGGAGGGACTGAACTGGAACTCACAGCACACATTCGTCTTCTGATCTCATGAAACTTCCAGAGTGATTTCACAGTGTCCTGGTGCTTTTTTTGGACAGCAGTTGGCGCTTAGTGTCGCATGGTAATCTTGTTTATATGGGAGCTTTTTGTTTCGGAATAATGTTGGTGACCAAATAACATGGTAATTTTCTTTTTTGCAGTACATGTCCTGCTGAAAAGGTCTGTATAATGAATTTCCATACTTCAGCCTGGTTTTTGCTGGTTTAGCTAGTGAACGATCTGTTGGTGAGTCTAGTCTGTTCATGTCAAGTCTGTTCATTCCTCGTCAAGTCAAGTCTGTTCATGTCAAGTCAAGTCTCGGATTATTGTTTGGATGTTTGGATCACACTGTAAATAAACTGCACTTGGGTTCTTCACTACTCTCGCCTTCAGTGGACTGATTCATTACAGATAGCCACCATGGTATTTCTGAAGCTGATTGACCAATACATTTTTGTTATTAGATAGTTAGCACTTAGCGGGTCAAGTCAAGTCACCTTTATTTATATAGCGCTTTATACAGTACAGATTGTGTCAAAGCAGCTTTACAGTGTCAAACAGAAAAATTGTTTGTCAATAATGCAAGAAGACAATAACAGAGTAATTTTTCCATTTAAAGCCAATTCATTGATGATTCAGTGATGTCATCATCCAGTTCATCTCTCTTCCAATAGTGTCTGTGCAATCAGTCAAGTACCACAAGGCTCAGTACTAGGGCCGCTGCTTTTCATGTTTACATGTTACCCTTGGGAGAATAATCAGGAAACATGGTGTTAGCTTTCACAGTTATTCTGATGCTCCTCAGCTCTATATTTCTTTGCGGCCTGATGAAATATATCAATAAAATACTGGATGACTAGTTATTTCCTATTGCTAAATTAAAGGTTTTAATTTAGGTTTTAATTATTGGACCAAAAACCTCCACATGTAATAACCTAAAACACTGTCTAACACTGCTACGACAATCAGTTTGGGACCTAGGTGTGCTATTTGATAGCAGTCTTTCCTTTGAAAACCATGTTTCTAGCATTTGTAAAACTGCATTTTTCCATCTTAAAAATATATCTTAATTATGACCTATGCTCTCAATGTTAAGTGCAGAAACGTTAATTCAAGCGTTCATGACCTCAAGTTTAGATTAGTGTAATGCTTCATTGGGTGGTTGCTCTGCGTGCTTAATTTAAAAAACTCCAGCCGGTAAACCTGGTTGATTGCCATGGTCTTTTTGGTTAAGCTGGTTGACTTTGGTTAAGCTAAAATTTTGCTAGTTGGGGCAGTTTGTAGCCTGGTGGAGACACCAGTGGTCTTTGATATTGGTGATTATTTATAATGAAAGCAAAAACTAATCTAAATGTAAAAATAAAAATGAGCACACATAATTAAAAATTCAATACTGGCCAAAATATATTCAGCATATTGTGCATATTGTACATCCCAACTATTTTCAGCACAGTTTCTTATTTAGCTTTCCATAAACTGTGGCTTATTTAACATGCAAGGTCCAATTCTGCACCGCAATCTTTGTCACACACTGGCATATCTGGTCGTCATAGAGGAGATGAGAATAATTTATAAATGGCTGATGAATATGGAGGAAGGGGAAAGGCCTGTCTATGGAGGATAAATGTTCGGCAGTGGCTCAGTCAGGAGGACAGAGACGGCAATAAGAAACCTCTTGAACCCTCTGTTCAGAACGACAAACTGCCTTCAACCAGGCAAATGCTTAGAGATTAACATACGCACTGCAGATCCAAGGAGCAATTTCATTTCAAAACTGAATCCGCCAGCTTGAGGATTTTCATGGCTAATTAGCCACACTGGCACTCATTTTTTCCATCTATTCTTCTTCTTTCCTTCTTTCTGCTCCTTCATCTATCTTAGTAGAAGTTATCCTCTGTTGTGATAGCAAAAGGAAAGAGAGCCGTACACTAAATTAAGCCTACCTGTTGTGTAAAAGATCCCATTACATATATGTTCAGCCACTTCTTTTCTGTACGTATTAATGCATAAGTGATGTGAATTGCCACAGTAGTTATGGTTTCAATTTAATAGATTAATGATGGGTTTATGTGGATCGGCTTGCAGTCATTTAGCTCACACTAGAACTGAATTCATTATGAGGCATATGGATGCTAATTTTCAGTTAAATAGGCTGGACTATTACCTATATATTTATACCATTCAGAAATTTAGGGCAAGTAATTATTATTTATTTTTTTTGGAAGTAATTGTTCTATTCAGCAAGGATGTATTGAATTGATCAAAAACAACACTAATGCCTTTTACATTGTTACTCTTACGGGTTGGTGAGGTACACACACACGAGGACGAAGGAGATATACAAAAGGTATTTTAATCAACAAATCCAGGAGACAGGCAAGTAGACCAACATTAAATAAACGAGAACGGACTCCGACTAAGGGAAAACTGAGAGCATGGCGGATCAGGAGACGAGGGCGCTCTGGAGGAGCCGGCACTTGAGGGCGCTCTGGAGGAGCCGGCACTTGAGGCCGCTCTGGAGGCGAAAGAGGGCTGGACAGGACCAGCGGCTGCGAAGGAGGCGAAGGAGAGCTGGATGGGACCAGCGGAGGCGAAGGAGACGAAGGAGAGCTGGACGGGACCAGCGGAGGCGAAGGAGACGAAGGAGGTTCAGAGGAGCGTGTTAGGGCGGCTTCTGGGGTGAGGACGGGTACCGAGAACCCCGGGGGCAGCGACATGTCCGTTATCGCCGATTGACACGCTGGAGCGAGGTCTGGGGCAGGAGCCGACACTGGAGCGAGCTCTGGGGCAGGAGCCGAAACTGGAGCGAGCTCTGGGGCTGGAGCCGACACTGGAAATGTTTCTTGAGCACCAAATTAGCATACAAATATAGCCTTAAGGGATAGTTCACCCAAAAATCGAAATTCTGTCATTAATTCCTCACCCTCATGTTCTTCCAAACCCTTAAGACCTTCGTTCATCTTCGAAGATATTTTTGATACATCAGTGGTTCAACCGTAATTTTATAAAGCTATGAGAATACTTTTTGTGTGCAAAGAAAACAAAAATTACGACTTTATTCAACGATTTTTTCTCTTCCGGGTCAGTCCGCCGCCATTCGCAAGAGTAGCATGATGCATGCATGTGCCGCTGCTGATGTAGAACACGCATGCGCTGCACCTTGTTTACGAGCAGAGGAATGCACAGGCATGCACTGTGGTACTCTCGTGAATGGCAGTGGACTGACCCAGAAGAGAAGAAATTGAGTAAAGTCGTTATTTATCGAGTAAAGAGCGAAATAACGAAGCAAACGGAATGATTTTAAAGTCTGTTTTACATTTGACATTCACATTTAGATTAAATATGTTACTCTGAATAATGAAGTTAAGCACTGAAATTTCATGAAATTATTATCCAGAAATTACAACATTTGTATATGAATTTAAACAGAAATATTTGCAGTGGATGTGCTGCTTTCGAACAATGTTCCTGTGGTATGTGATTTAATGTTTTAATCACAGCGAGGATTGCTTGGCGACGGCATATGACAATTCTACTTTAAATTGTGTTCTAAATAGCAAAACTCATGTTCTGAGAAAATACTTTTACACGAATAATGACCATTGATGTGAACTTGATTCGTCTGATGGCTTTGGAACATAGGCGGTAACGAAAGACATAAGGATGCGCTCGTTGATCAAACAGTCCATTGGCTGGTTTGAACAGGTCCGATGACAGTAGAACTGTTCACAGGTGTTGCGCACAGACAGTAGCCTAATGATAACCCCTTTCGTGCTCTTCCCAATATTGTGACAGACACCATATTTAAAAGATAGAATTTGAAGGAAACTAAGATATGCGCGTTTTATTTTCAAAATGTTTTGTTATTGACACGGTGAGTCAGACAGCTACACTGCAAAAAAATAAAGCCTATCTCTTTCCATAAAATTATAGGCTATAAACATTCTAAAATATATGTTTACCTTTTAGGCAAATTGCATAAATTAGAATTGGCTCAAAACGCATTTATAGTCAGTATCTAATATTTTCCTAACGTGTTGTAGGCTAGGGTGGAGATTCATGTACGCACAATCTTCCGCTGACTGGGTATTACAAAGGGAATTTTACGCAGGGTCTGGCTTACGCATGGCTTTATAAATCTGAAAACGTTTGTACGTACGCAAAATCTAGCTTTTGTGCATACGCACACATTTAGGATGAAATCTACGTAAAGTTTTATACATGAGGCCCCAGATGTCACACAGACTATTTTATCAATGTCGTTACTAGTTTCTGTGCCTTGACCATGGTAGTTCCCTTACTGTCTATTGAGGGTCAGAAAGTTCTCGGATTTCATCAAAAATATCTTAATTTGTGTTCTGAAGATGAACGAAGGTCTTACGAGTTTGGAACGACGTGAGGGTTTTTAAATTAATTAATTAATTGAGTAATTAATGACAGAATTTTCATTTTTGGGTGAACTAACAGCTTTGCCATCACAGGAATAAATTAAATTTTTAAATATATTTAAATATATTATTTTAAATTGCAGTAGTATTTCACAATATTACTGTTTTACTGTATTTGCAAATAAATACAGCCTTGGTGAGCATAAGACACTTAATTTAAAGTACCTATAATATAACAAATAAGTTCAAAATAGTGCAATTTGTTCCCCTCCAAGAACCATATATCCAACTAGTGAACGCTAGCACACTGAAGAATATAAGGAATAAGAAGTGGATTCTTTGCTGAACCTAAGGCATTTCTAAGAGTCATTAAAGAAGCTTTATTTGTAGGAGTGCTGGCCTGAAATGTACTCCACTTACAATCTCTTGGTGATCTTCTCCATTTTCTCTTCTCTTTTTTTTCAGATAGAGAGATACAGAGTGAGCTGGAATGAGATGGAGAACATACCCATAATTACAAGTGAGGTTCATTTGAGTGCAGTATGCATTTACAGTATATGTATATCACTCTGTAGATGGGATTACCCTCATAGCCCTGCATCCAATTAGATAAACTGCCTTTAATAATTCAACCTAACCCACCGTTCCAGAATAATGAGTGAGATAATGCTGCAGTATCTCAGACACAGATGTAATTTATTGCTGAGAGAGCAGCATTTATGGAGAATGTGATTTTCTACAGGCATAATGAGAGTTCGGGAGTTCACCGCAAATGTTATGGACTTGATTCTTTTGGATGTGCAAAATGTTGCAGTGAGCGTCGTAAGTGCATTTAGATTAGATTGTTTTTAAAATTGGTTTATTGCAGTAAGGTAATTGCTCAGATGAATCTGGTTGATAAAAATAACTTTTTTCCCCCCCTTGCAATTATTATTCTGTTGGGCCGAACTTTTATGATCATGATTGTTACCGAAGTAAATTGCCCTGCCCATAAGGTCTTGCACAAAATATTTTGGCTTGAGAAAGGAAACAATAATGGCTAGTTTGGTAATGATACAGTAGTGAGGGAGCATTTTGTGGTTCTTCGTATCACTTTAATATCAGCAAAACTTGTTTTTTTTTTCATTTTCTTTTATTTACTTGTTTTCCCTTTCATGCCTTTTCATCTCTTCCATGTCCTTGACTGTCTGGCTTCTCCTGTAAACAGCACAGGAATCACATCTTGGCATTCCTGAAACAACACTGGATTTGATTTTACAACCCAATTAAAGTCGAGCTGTAAATCAGTGGGGCAGTAGAGCCTTTTCCCCTTCGTTTTCTTTTCCTTTCCCCCCTCCTTTCGCTTAGCACCTTCAGCAGAATTGAGTATCCCTGAAAGCTGTGAACCAATTTCAGGACAGCTTATAAAAGCAACAGGACTGAGAACAGAGGCAGGACTGATGAGGGCGTTTACAGGGCAGCCAAGGATGCCACCCTTGAGGTTCCTAAATCACAAAGCTGTGATGGCTAGCAAGTGGCTGCATGGCTCTCGTCCATAAAGACTAGAACTCTAAATCCTGGATGAGTCTGTGTGCTTTCAGCTGCATCTAGAAACTTTATAAGCAACATCAGTAGTTGTAGAGGTCATTTTAAATATTACTGTATGATAATTCCCTTCTGGATGAATACTATAAAAAGTATGTGGTTAAAATGCAATGAGTATACTGCACTGTTTCCATAAGAATTATGCTTTTGATTTCTGTCCTACATACTACATGATTACTACTTACCAACTATCACATACTACTTACATGAAAGAATAGTATTTTTTGTCATATATTTTGTAAATTTGCATTTATTACAATAAATGATTATAACTCTTGAACTGCACATTGTGCAAACATCCAGTTAATAGAGAATTCAGATGGAATGATTCTTTAGAGTAATTCAGATCTATGACGTGTGAGTCATTTTGACTCGGTTGACTTATTTGACTCATTGGCTCATTTAAAAGAACTGTATTGTGAGTGTAATTTATTGCTGAATTACACTGCACATGCAGCTAAGGAAAACGTCACATCCTACTATTAACTGTTTGCTATGGAAGCTTGTTTCTGTGACTGGATTAAAAAAAAAAATGAAAAAGGTAATTGCAACTTTTTATCTCACAATTCTGACTTTTTTCTCACAATTTAGAATTGAGAGACGCAAACTGAGAATTGCTTGATATAAACTCGCAATTCTGAGAGAAACAAACGTTTGAATTTTGAGATAAAAAGTCACAATTAGTTTTTTCTTTCTTTTTTTTTTAGTTCTCTGGCAGAAATAAACTTTCCATAGTTTGCACCTTTTGAATTACTTCTGGCACTGAGTCTTTATTTTTATTATCTCAGAATCATTTCATTTTGAACATTACCATTTAAAAGTTTGGGGTCAGTTTTTAAGAAATTAAAAATTCGTTTTTTTTATCACTGGTAATGAAGAATGTTTCTTGAGCACCAAATTATCATATTAGAATGATTTCTGAAGAATCACATGACGCTAAAGACTAGAGTAATGGCTGCTTAAAATTCAGCTTTGGCACTGCAAGAATAAATTATGTTTTAAAATATAATATAAAATAGAAAAAGGTTTTTTTTCATTTGCAACAAGATTACTGTTTTACTGTGTTTTTTTAATCTAATAAATACAGCCTTGGTAAGCATAAGAGACTTCTTTCAAAAATATTTAAAGATCCTACCAAACCCTAACTTTTGAATAGTAGTGTACATTTATCAACATTTATCCAGTTTTCTCTTGGAGCAGTACTTCAACTACAGCTAAACTTGAGACTGGTAGAGCAATATTTTATCAAGCTTTTGGCTACAGAATCGAATCCTATTCGGGGCAAGACCTGGACAGGAATCTCTATTCAGCAGGCACGAATACTCATGTGGCTTACTGATGTACAGTTTCCTCCAGCAAACATCCGCTGCTAGATTAAACCATCTCGCTGTGTGGCGGTTGTTTTTTACACAACATCCGTTGCTAAGACAGTAATTGCCTGCTGTAATACATCAAAGCCAATACAGGCGATTGTCATTTTTCATTAGCGAGACAACAGGTCAATGCGGGCTCACAGCTATTAGTCAGAAATTTCCTCTAATGGCATATCAGTAACTCCTGACACCTAGCGCACTGACTGCCTGCATGATCTAAATTCTCTTTTCGTTTATAAAAGCCAGAATGAGCCTCATTTCATTTTAAGAAGAGGCGTGATGTGCATTAAAGCATTTGAAATGAAAATCTCACCCTGGCACTCACTTAATTGCTTAGTTTATATAACAGAAACAGAGGGTGGAATTTAAATAGCTTGAAGTCTATTTGGGCACACTGTCTTTTATACAAAAAGACAGCACATTCAACTGAAATTTGCTTATTTTCTTGTGGCCATTAATCTTTTACTTGTCATACACACACTCATATGCACAAACACTCATTATGAATACGCATCTGGCAATATGCTGTTCGTGACAAATGCGAGGAACACCTCGGATAGACAGTACGACAAAGTCAATTTGCCTCTTAGAGACATTTGAGAGAAATTAGGCCAATGCAGTCATTCTGCCCAGAGTGTTTGTCTTCAGACCCCAATGAATGAAGCCTCACAGCTCTTTTTGTCCTGGGTCTTTGTCATGTCATTAGAAGCCTTACAGATGGAGTAATGAGGAAAGGCAGCCCTTCAGTCCAATTCACAATGCCAAGAAACTGCTTTTAGCCTTAGCGAATGATGTGCACAGGCCTAGGATATCAAATCAGGTCTATGTTGTTGCTTAGTTAGACGTTTTGCAGTAAATGACGTGACTGGTAGAGATTAACATGCTAATTATGCACTGGGAGGCTGCTAAACATCACATATGATGCCATTTGCTATGGAAAGTATGTTTTTTTTCTGTGTAATACCTTCATCTTGAAATACTTTTTACGTGAGTTGCGTTCTGGCATTCGCTTGTCTTAATTTAACTCTTGATTTAATGTCTTTCGCAGACTTTTGAGCTGAGTATGACCATCAGGTCTTACATGTAGGCTCTGAGATCGGCAAATTTGATGACTGTTATTTCTGACTTAAGTGGACACCGATTGATTGAGGTCTCTTGGGAACGGGAAGAATAACATTGTGTTTTGCACGCCGCTGCTTAGGCCTCAATCAAGCTACAATTTGCACTTGGCACACCAGGTGAGCTGATTTTAGAGACAAATAATGACGACTGTGATTAGGACCGAAGTTGAATTTAAAGCAGTCTGTCTCCATGACCTCTTGGGCTGAATATGACTCCACATTCCTCAGGCTGGAGGTCTGAAGCGCTCCTCTCTGTCCGTAGCTCTGCAGCAGAGAGATCTCTACACCTGGGTGCTGCGTACTTGTGACATGTTGACGCAGCTGTGGTTTCGGCGGAGAGTTTTAGATGGCAGGCACACCACAGTGAACTTGCACCTGTGGGATTCTGGGTAGATGTACAGTCTGAGTTCAGAGCCTTTGACAGCTGGTCCATTCTCTACTATATTCGATTCCTGGTTACAATGTCAAAAGCTGTTGTTGTCAAATTCCAGGGTTTGTACTCATATAGCACTTTTGACCAATGATTACACTAAAACCAATTTATATACTAGATTTAAAAAAAAGAAAAGAAAAACTTAATTATAGTTTTCTATAGTTGGAAATTAACTAGATAAAAAACAATTTTCACTAAGTGCAGAATTAAAGTGATTTAGTTATTGAGTAACACATAGAATGTTGTATGTTACGGTTTTAATGGTTAAAAGTCAAGCTCTTAATCAGCTGGATTTGTTGCATAATGCTGATTACCAAAAAATGATATTTTCTACTTGTCCTTTGGTTTCTTTTAAAACAAAGAAGCAAAAAGCAAGGTTACAGTGAGACACTTACAATGAGAGAAAATGTGGACAATTTTGAAAAGGTTTAACAATGGCTTACAATTTTATAAAAGCACTTAGGACATTAATTTGTTAACACTATACATAAAGGTGGCATTTGTTAAGGTTACTTAATTGCATTAGTTAACATGAACTAGCAATGAAAAATATTTCTAAAGCATTTATTAATCTTAGTAATGTTAGTTTTAACATTTACTAATGCATTATTAAAAATCAAAAGTTATTTCTGTTAATATTATTTAATGGACCTGAGCTGACATTAACTAATGAACAAGTGCATTTTTATTAACTAATGTTAACAAAGACTAATAAATATTGTAACTAAGGTTAACTAATGAGACATTTTTGTTAAATGTTCCCATTCATTTTTCTATTAAAACTTGTGTATTTTTGTGTACGTTTTACTGTTGTTTTAGGGCTTATTAAAGTATATGAACATTAATGGATTGGCCTCATTCACTTCCTTTTTATTATTGGCTTTTGTTTAAACATTAAGACAAAAAAAAAAAAAAAACAATATAGAATTTAAAGACAACCGGAACAAAACTGAAAAATAAAATAAAATAATATTTTAAAAGGCGGGAACCTATGGAAACTTAATCATCA